ATATAGTCTAAAACCTACTTTTACTAACTTTAAATAAGGCATATATTTTATAGTAAGTATATAATTACTCTTAAAACTCTTTACTATTATCTTATATATTAATAATCCTCTTTAAACTAAGGGCTTTATAAAACTTAAGGAAGTAATCTTTTTTTAATAGCTTAGTTAACTTATTTACTACTATTTTATTTATAAGAATATATTTTAGCTTAATCTCTTTACTTTTAACTTTTTTATATATAAAGTAATACTAGGTCTTAATATACTTAAAGCCCTTATAGTTAGTTAGGTTTTTTATTAAGGCAATTACTTTTTAATTATTATAGTAAATAACTATAGTATTTAAAGATAATATATCTGCTTATTCTTCTTAAAGATTAGTATATAATTTTATAAAAAGTCTTTATAGCTAAATAGCTTCCTTTATAATATTAGTTTATGCTATATATTCTACTTTATAACTTAATAAAGCTATTATTACTTAATATCTTAATAACTAGCTAATCTTACTGCTTTTAATATTAAATATATAGCTAAATATTAATTTATAAGTATTTAGGTTATTAGCCTAGTTAAAGTTACTATAGCCTTATAAAGGTTAAAGACTTTTTTAAAATACTAGATATAAGTTCTTACTTTCTTAAATATAATATAAAATATACTTAACTGCCTGCTTATATATATTAATAAGGTTATTAAAGTACTTATTAACTATTAAGATAATATAAGCTAGATTAAAGCATATCCTTAATATTAAGTATATTAATAACTTAATAGCTAACTAGTATTCTTTTTATTTATTTTATTAGCTAATATATCCCTTTACTTTCTGCAGTTACTTTTTAATTATTAATATTAGCGCTAGGGTATAGTTAGTTATATTAAGTTATTATAAAATCTTCTAGATATAGCCTTACTAGTTAAGGATAATTATCTTTACTAGCTAATTTTAATAAATTTAAATATTAAGATAGTAATAGCATAGCCTTAGGTTTATTATTAAAAAGCAGTTATATAAAGCCTTTTTTAACTTTTTAATTTTTACTTTATCTTTTTTAACTAATAGTAGATTATTAATATAAATAGTAATAAACACTTTATCTTTAGTATATAGGCTATTATTAAATATAATAGTATAAGACCTAAGTATAAGGAGGAACTTAATAAGCGTTTTATACTAGACTTTAAGAGCTTATTTTAAATTATAAAAGGCCTTTTTTAGCTTATATACTTTCCTAGTCTTATTATTAAAACTAATTAGCTATTTTATATAAATATCCTTATTTACTTTTTTATATAAAAATGCAGTTTTAATATCTATTTATTTAATTTCTAGATTAAAGGCAGCTATAATAGTAAATAAGGCCTTATAGGTTATTAGCTTAACTATTAATATAAATATCTTTAAGTAATTAATTCTAGTAATCTGCTTAAAGCCTTTAATAACCTATCTTGCCTTATATCTTACTACTTAGTTATTTAGTCCTTGCTTTAGCTTATATACTTATTTATTATGCAGAATATTTATCTTAAAGTTAAGATTAATAAGTTCTTAAGTCTTATTTTCCTTTAGTATATAAATTTTATTTACTATCCCTTTTTACTATTTATTATAAAAGAAGCTTTATTTAGCCTCCTTAAATATTTTTAGCTTAATATTATTAACTTATATTTTACTTAATACTACTAGAGTAAGAATATTAAGGAGGGAGACTTATATATAGTATTCTTTATTAAAGAGGGAGACCTTATTTTATAAAGGATATTATAACTTAGAATATCCTAGCATTTAATTACTAAACCTTACTTATTTATTATAAGATATTAAAGGTTTAAGCAGTATAACTTTAATTATTAATTAAACTAAGCTATTCTTTTAGTATTACTTCTCTTTTACTCTTTAGTTATTAGTTTAAGTTCTTATAAACTATATATTATAGATTATAACTAAAGGTAAGGCTATTTTAGATTTAAAGTATATATTTAAAGAGCTAACTATTCTCCTCTTAAAGGTTAATAGCTAGTATATAGTGTTATTAATAAACCTTAGTAAGATATACTTAATCCCTTTCTTATTAAGTTTCTTTTATTATGCTTAAAGGATAAGGTGCTAGGCTATTATACTTACTATCTTAATATTTAATATATTAAGTTATTAATTAAAGATATATTTAAATAGCATCTTATTTAAGGCTTTATAAAGGCTTTTATTATAAAGATAGTTAATAGTTTTTAGTATTTCTAGCTAATATTTTTTTTAAAATATTCCCTTTAATTAGTATAAGAAGTAGCTTATTATATATAATAATATTAAAATTCTTAGCTATACTATTTAACTAATATTATTCTATTAGTAATATCTTAAAAGTAGTGCTATATTAAATTACCTATTTATTAAACTTATTATTATTAAATTCCTTAGCCTTATTTAGGTAAATAATTCTGCAGTATTATCTTTAAGGTTCTTAATTTTCTAGGAATTATATAAAGAATTAAATAAACCTTTAAGCACTTTATTTATTTTTAATAGCCTTACTACTGCTAAAGTAATTATAGCTATTTATAAGTATGATTTAATATCTCTTTTTATTATAGCTATTTATATAAAAAGGGCTATATATATTAATATAGATTATATCTTTTATATATTTAGCTAGTTATAGCTATTCTTTATATAGCTTTTTTTTATATTTATTTATATAGATATACTTTATATAAATAGAATTTCTGCATAGTGTTTAATTTATTAACTATTTCCTTTAGCTAGTTAAGGTTATTATTATTAAGGTGTTTTATTTATTTATACTAAAGTTATGCTTATAAATTAACTATATAAAAGATAAAGGCATAAGTAAGTAATGTTTTTATTTTTACTAATAGCATTATATATAAGATAAGTGCTTAAGTAAGTAGACTTTTTATTTATAATATAAAAAACTTATTAAAATATCTAGCTAAAATCTTAATATTATCTTTTTTAATTATTTAATAGTCTTAGGCTATTAATATCTCCCCTTTTAGGTTAAGTAGCTAAGTAATTAAGATTAGGTTTAAGCTAAGGGCAGGGGTATATAAAATGTTAAAGAATAAGACTATAATAAAGGTATTTTTATTTATATAGTATTTAACTATTATACTTATACCTTTAACTTTAAATTTTAAGTTATTAATATTACTTAGTATACTAAAGTATAGTTATAGTAATCTAAAGGTAAATTTATCTTACTAAAAGGTAATATATTATTTATAGCTAGAATTAAGCACTTAAATAGCTTAAAGACTGCAGTCTAGTGCTAATATTTTAAAAGATTATATAATAGCTATTAGTCTTAGTCTTTATTTTTAAAAAGGCTAGTAATAAGGTAATATCTTTATTCTCTTAATTTATATTTAAAGCAGCTAGTTAATAACTTTAGTAACTTTATTAATCTTTTTATCTCTTTTTCTTTTTTAAGTAAAGATTTTAATACCCCTTTTTTATATACTAGGTCTTACTATAATAGCTATATTTTAGTACTTTTATAAAGGTTAAATTATTATTATTTATTAGCGCGCTTTTTTTTTATAATATTAGCACCTATATATTTATTATACTGCTTTTTTATTAAACTTCTTCTGCTTTTATATTATAAATAATACTATTTAGTATTAAGAAGGAGTTAATATTATAGCTTAACTAGAAGTTAATATACTATATAAAGTACTATTTATCTAGTTTATTAATAAACTTAAAGATTAAATAACTATTTAGCAGCTTATGCTTACTCTTAGCTTAAAAGAACTTTTCTTATATTATCTTAATCTTTTAAATAAAGTTATAAATAAAGGCTGCTAAAGTAAAAGTATAGTCTTTTTATTCTTTATATACTATTTATAGTATACTTAAGCTAGACTTTTAAAATTCTTCTTTAATATATTAAAAAACTCTTTTAATAGTTCTTTCTTTACTTATTATCTTACTTAAGGAGATAGATAAGGTAGTTTTAAGGATTTTTATATATTATTATTACTTACTCTTTTATAAGTTTAACTAGTTATAAAGCACCTAATCCTTAATATTATATATAATAAGCAGGTCTTTAGCCTTTATAAGATTAATAATAAGTCTTAGCTAATAATCTTAAATTAAAAAATCCTCTTTTTTTTTTAATATAGGCAGTAATTAAAGACTTAAGGTATTTACTGCTATTAGCTTAATTTCTAAGCTAATAGGTTCTGCCTATTTATAAACTATAACACTTAGCTAGCTTTATTATTATAATATATTATATATTAGCTATTAATTAAAGAATCTTAATAGTGTTTAAACTTTATAGCTAAAGATATTATTATTAAGAGGTAAATAAATATTAGAAATTATATCTTTATTAGGTTCTTTATTTATAAGAATATGTTATTTAACTATATATAGACTGCTGTTTAATTTAGATTAATTTCTATCTTTTTAAGGCTCTTAAAGGTCTCTTTACTACTAGAAGGGACCTAGACTAGTAATTAGGTCTTTTAATAATGCTATTCCTAGTTAATATAAAATTAGCCTACTTAAATTATATTATCTAGCTATTTTTAATATTTTTCTTATTATATAGTAATTTCCTTTTAAAAGGCAGTAGATTTAGTAAGATTAGCTATATATAGCTTAAAAGTATTAGTACTTATTATTTTTTAATAATTTAATAAAAGCTAGGCTTATAACTTATTAAAATATATATTAATTAGCTTATTATTAGTCTATATCCTATATAGCAGCATATAGCTTTACTTATACTTTCTAGTTAGGTTAACCCCTGTCCTCTACTATATAAATACTTCTTATATTAATGCCTTTATTTCTAATAAAGCCTTAAATAATTATAATACCTAAAGTCTTATTAACCTTTAACCTTAGTATAAATATCTTATATAGTAAATAGGTTTATAAGCTAAAGAGAGGACTAGATAATTAAGTAATTAAATATAAAGCATGCTAGGTTATTTAAGATTTTAAGTAAATTACTAGAGTTAACTATATTAAAATATTTATATTAGTTATAAAGCTAATAACTTATAAGGCTTTATTTATAATAATAGCTGCCCTAGACTTAAAGATTAAGCAGATAGATATTAAAATAGCATTCTTATATAATAAGGTAAATAAAGATATATATATTAAGTAACTTATAGGCTTTTAAAATAACTTAAGATAAGTTTATAAGTTAAAAAAGGCGCTATATAAACTAAAGTAAGTATTAAGGGTTTAATATAAAACCTTTACTAATTTCCTTATTATTTTTAACTTTTAAGCAGTATTAGTAAATAGCAGTCTTTATATTAAAAATAGTATTTTTATAGTTATTTATATTAATAACCTGCTATTAGTTAATAAAAATAAGTTTAAGATTTTAAAACTTAAAAATACCTTATACTAATGCTTTTTTATAATTAACCTAAGACTATATTATTATTATTTTAGTATATAAATTTATTAAAATAAAAAAGCTTAAATAATTATCTTTAATTAATAAGGCTATATTTAGAAGGTTCTTTACTAATATAATATAACTAATTATATCTTAATGCTAATACTAATAGTTAAGAAATAACTATAAAAGGCTAAGGCTAACTTCTTATATTAAATAAAGGATAAAAAAGAGTATTAGTTAATAATTAGGTCTTTAATATACTTAATATTATTAAAAATAAAAAGGTTTAAACCTAGGAGTTTATTAAGGCTTATATTTTAACACTCCTGCTAGCTTAATAGGCTTTATAATCTTAAGCTCTTTTATATAGTATAGCAGGGACTTTAAGCTCTTTTATACTTTTAGGTTATAAAATTTATATAAGGTAGTGGCATTAAAGATAATTTAAACTTATAACCTCTTAGCTAAGGCGTCTTTATGCCTTAGCTAATAGTCTTAGCTGCTAGGCCATCTAGGCTTATAACCTATTAAAAATAAAAAGGTTTAAACCTAGGAGTCTATTAAGGCTTATATTTTAATAAATATTAAGTATATAACTAGATCTAGTATATATAGTTTTTATTATTAGCTATTATATTAGAAATCTTAATAATTTTTATAAATAAGTAGTAAAATAGATCTTTAAATATATTTAAGGAATTATAAACCTCTGCCTAGTCTTTTATAAAAACTTATAACTATTATATAGCTATAATAACTTAAACTAGGCTAATAACCTAAATACTTACTAGTTAACCTTAAGGTATATCTTTAATATTAAAAGCAGTAAGATTAGCTAGTTATTTAGGAGATAAGCTATTATTATATTATTAAGCTATAAAGCTAAATATATAGTATAAATAAATATAATAAAAAAAGCTATTTAGCTATAAAGTCTTTTTATAAAATTATAAACTAATTTTTAAGGGGAGATGTTATTTAAAGACTCTTCTAGTGCTATAATTATTTATTATAATAATTAAGGAGTAATTATACTTATAAAAAATCTAATAAATTATAAAAGATTAAAGTATATTAAAACCTAGTATTATTTTATTTATAAAAAGGTTAAGAAAGGAGAAATTAAACTTAAGTATATACTTATAAATAAAATAGTAGCTAATAAATTAACTAAGCTATTAAAAAAAGACTGCTTTATAAAGTTTTATAAAGCCTTAGGTTTAAGGAAACTTACTAATATAAAGATAGCTAGTAAAAAGGTTTAAAGGGATATTTAAGAAGATTAACCTTTAATAATATTAATAGTATAAAGTTAGTAAGAGTAAATATAAATCTATTACCTCCTTAAAAAGCATAAGGTTAATAGGAGTTTTCTTATAGTCTTATATTATTAAGTAAGAGTGTTAAAATAAAAGGCATTAATATAGGAAGTACTAGTATATTAATAGCAGGGGGTTAATCTAGTTAAAGGCATAAGTAAAAGCTATATGCCTAGTTTAGTAAATATAAATAAGTAAGATAAGAGACACACTTTTTAATAAATATTAAATATATAGCTAGATATTAATCTAGAGTATTACTATCTAGGCACTAATAGATTACTATCTAGGCACTACTAGGGGGGTCTTAAAAATAACTGCGTTTCTTATCCTAGCTTTATTAAGACAGAGGGTATGTTAATTAGTAAAAGGTTTATTAATTTACTAAATACTTTAGTCTTAATATATACACTATATAAATTAAGGTATTAATTTAATAAACTTTTATTCCTGTACTTAAAAATGCTATTTTACTTAAATTTAAAATTACCTTGCTTTAAGGAGTAGCTTAATAATATTTTTATACTCTTAATTATAGATTTAAGGGTTTTTATAATACCTTTAGTTATATAGTATATAACACTTTAATATATATATCTTTTTTTTATAAATTAATAGACCTTTTACTACTTAACATCCCCTTTATAATAGTAGGGCTATTATAAGGAATGCAGTTGTTTTTAAGACCCCCTAAGTAGTAGAAGTACCTTAAAATTTTCCTTTAGGTACTATGTTTTTAAACTGCTATATCTATATTAAAAAGATTAAGAAAAATATAAAAAAATATAACTAGCTTAAACCTAGGCTAAAAAACTTAGTAATATTTTTTATATATTTTTTATACTTATTTAGTAATTTATAAATAAGTAGAAACTTAGACTATTTTAAATCTATATTTTATATACTATATAGTAAATAAATTAAGTAACTTTTTATATAGCTATATAGCTTTTTATTTAAATATTAATATTTTAAAAAGTGTATGCTTTAAGAAGTAATACTTAGCTAAAGAATGCTATTTTAAGAATAAAACAGTTTTTAAAGCTATATATAAGCTAAAAAATAGAAATAAAATAGAATATTTATAATTTAACTATATAAAAAAAGCTAAAAATTTAATTATTTCTTTTAAATTATTTTTCTAGAATTTTTTATAAATTCTTAAAGTACTTACTAACTATTAAAATAGCATAAGCTAAATTAAAGTATATCCTTAATATTAAGTATATTAGTAACTTAATAGCTAACTAGTATTCTTTTTATTTATTTTATTAGCTAATATATCTCTTTACTTTTTATAATTACTTTTTAATTATTAATATTAGCACTAGGGCATAGTTAGTTATATTAAGTTATTATAAGATCTTTTAAATATAGCCTTACTAGTATTATAGAGCTTAGAGCTAGATATAATGCCTTTAGGTTATATAGTAATAGGACTAGATAAAGATCTTATATTCTTCTTTAGGTTATAGTAATATATAGTTATTACTATTAAGAGACTGTAAATAGGCTCTTTATAGTTAACTATAAAGTTTAAAGTAAAAGACTTAAAAAGCCCTAGCTATAATAGTTATAGTTAAATAATAACCTTCTTAATATAGCTTAGCTGCTATAATAGTGCTTTTCTTAAAGGTCTTAATATTATAGTATATAAAATAAGGTAAATCTATATTTAGATTAATTTAGTAATTTTAAGCAGGATAGTAAGGCTTTAAAAAGTCTATTTTTATAAAAATTAATAAATTTAATTAAGATTTAATAGAGTTATAGTAAAAAGAAGATAAAGCTTATATATAGCTATTATTATTGCAGATTATAATAATATATTAATATTATAGTTATATAAGGCCTTACTTTTTTATTATATTTTTAGCAGGATAATTCTAAAGATAAAAGAAGTATATAAGAAAATATAAATATATTTAATTATATAAAGTTAGTATTATAAATAAGGTATTTTTTTTTTATAAATTAACAGACCTTTTATAAATTAACATCCCCCTTATCCTAGTAAAGCTAGGACAGGAAACGCAGTTATTTTAAAGACCCCCCTAGTATATATAGCTTAAAAGTATTAATACTTATTATTTTTTAGTAATTTAGTAAAAGCTAGGCTTATAACCTATTAAAATATATATTAAATTAGCTTATTATTAGTTTATATCTTATATAGCAGTATATAGCTTTACTTATATTTTTAGTTAGGTTAACCCTTATCCTCTACTATATAAATACTTCCTATATTAGTGCCTCTATTTTTAACATTATATCTTAATAATTTAGTAAAAGCTAGGCTTATAATCTATTAAAATATATATTAAATAGCTTATATTCTCTTTACTTATCTTAATATATTTAAGTAAGACTACTGCTCTTACTTAAGCTTTATAAATAGCTAATCTCTATAACCTCTTATACTAGTACTTTTTATATTAGTGCCCTTATTTTTAATATATAGCAGCTATAAAGTCTTAAGTAATTTAACTTTTAAGTAGGTTACTTATACTAAGTTTATTAAGGTCTTATTAATATACTTAATTATCTTATTTTATTAAAGAGTATAGGCTAATAATATTTTTAATATAAATCCTTTTTTATAAAATTAATTCTAAATATTATAAAAGATAAATTTAGCTATATTATTAAAAGATATAGTCTAGACTTTATAGCTATTATTAGCTACTTTTACTTAGCATTTTTAGCCTTTAAGCTTTTTTATAGTATTAAATCTTAATATAGCTAAGATTAGCTATTAATACTTTATATAAGTGTTAAAATATATAGTAATTAGCTTATCTCCTTACTTTTTAAATAGTGGCTTTTAGCTTTTATTTATACTTATAGTTAGATTAACCCTTTATTACTCTTATATAAATACTTCTTATATTAATGCCTTTATTTTTAACACTTTTACTTTATTAAAAATAAGGGCATTATATATAGGAAGTACTAGTATATATAGGTCTTAAGGGTTAACTAACTATAAAGCATAAGTAAAAGCTATATTCTTATTTAAATAAGGAGAGATAAGTAAGCTAATTAATATATATTTTAATAAGTTATAAGCCTAGCTTTTATTAATTATTACTAAGTATTAATACCTTCTTAAAATTAATTAATAATAATCTTACTAATTTATAATCTTTATTATATTTTAGCTAAATATTACTATATAACTTTATAATAATAAATAATTACTAATTAATTTACTTAAATAAGTTAAAAGCTAACTATTAACTAAGATAATTAAAATTACTATTATTAAATAACTTAATCTTTAAACTAAGAGCCTTAGGCCTTAGGCCTTCTTTAAGTAGCTAGGATAACTAGGGATTATAAAAAGATAAGTAAAATAATAAAAATATTAATAGCTTAAATATAGTAAGGTAATTAACCTTTAGGTTAATAAATAAAAACCTTAATAATAAAATA